TTTGATTGAATTTTTTTCGCTGTTAAAAACAGGTACCAGCATTCTTTACACCAAACTATGATGAATATGTTCGATCGGTATGTTTCGTTCAAAATACATACTATGTTGAACATACAGATAAAACACCGAAATCATTTACTATTAAAAAAGAAAGTGAAATATTATATTATCAATGGATTCCATTTATTTTATTAGTTAAAGCATTTTTATTCTATATACCACGTATGTCATGGAATACATTTGGATTAAAAAGTGGTGTACAAGTATCTGATCTTGTTGAATCATCTTTTGATTATAAATTACCAACAGCAGATGCAGCACATCGTCAAATGTGTTTAGATTATGTTGTTGATACTATTGATCAATATTGTAATGATCATCGACGACAAAATAAAGCACGTATTCATTTAAATATAATCCAACGAATTTTAATAACTGGATGGTGTATGACAGGAAAATATCTTGGCAATTATCTTGTTGTTTTATATTTAACAACAAAATTAATGTATATAGGTGTGTCATTATTTCAAATACTACTTTTAAGTGTAATGTTAGGTTCAAATTTTGCTTTTTATGGCATACAAGTACTTGATCGTTTTTTTCGAGGTAGAAAAAGACAAATAAACGATTTCGTTTTTTATAATAAGAAAAAATTTATTTAATATATATATATATATATTTAGGTATTCATTGGGAAACAGAATCACGTTTATTTCCAAAAACAACTTTATGTGATTTTACTATTCGTGAATTTGGTCATCCAAAACGTTCTCATGACTATACTGTTCCATGCGTTTTACCACACAATTTATTTAATCAACAAATGTTTACATTTCTTTATTTTTGGTATGTTATTGTTATTTCACTTAATGTTTGTGATTTTTTCTTATGGTTATATGCTATTACTCCACCGTATCGTCTTAATTTTGTTTGTAAACGTCTTCATTCAAAAAAATATCCATTAACAAATGAAATCAATGATCAACCAAAAATTATTGAATTTACGAATGATTATCTTGAAACTGATGGTTTCTTTATTTTATCATTAATTAAAGAAAATACTTCAGATTATGTTGCAGCAGAAATTGTTCATCGTTTATATACAGAGAAATTTCTCAAGAGAAGTCTCGATAACACAACAATAGAAGCTATTTATGATGATAAACATACTAAAAAAGACAATGATTCTAAACGAAGTCATCTTTGCTCATTGATTTGTTAATAAATCATCCTTTTGTTAAAAGGCATGGTTTTATTTGAAGTTTTAAAAAAAAGAAAAACACCTTCTATTATTGAATGAAAAGATTTGAACTGTTAATAATATTTGTTTGAAGAAGAATGACACCCACAATAATAGTTGTTACGAGTATGAAAATAATTTTACCCGGTCGAACAGTTAATCCAAATAATTTTGCACGTAATTCTGCTGTTGAAAGAAATAATAAAAAACCATCAAGATCAGTAGAACTTGTTGCGTGATAACCATAGACACGCATTGAAAGACTAATACGATGAAATTTATCACATTTCGATGTAACTCGTGCTGCCTAATAATTTTCATAAGAAAAAAAAAATCTTATAAATATATAATTTAAAAAAAAATTTACTTGTCCAAGACAACACATAAGAATAGAAAACCAAACTATCGGGTATAAAATTCGATAAGCATACATTATTGGTTCCTTGATTTCATTCACCATGAATAATATAATACCTTAACACAAAAAAACAAAAGTAACATAGGAATTTTATATGATCTAAGTTATACAAATATCTTGAGAAAAAAAAAACTTATCAACACTTATATATTTATATATATAACCTCGTTTTTGAACAATTTTAAAACGAGCAATGATCGATCTATTATTTAGTTTAACGAAATAATATAATGAAAATGGTTTAATTTATAGACAAGACTTTACCGAGTATTGTACGTTCGAGATAGTAAACAACTAATATTGACATCATTCGTGAAACTGCATCATTCAATTGGCTAATAGATGAAGTAAGATCAAGAATTTGTTTCATAGCTTCAAGAAGATGTATGGATTTTTCTTCTAATCGTGTTCGAATTGATTTACAATAGAAAACAACCATTTCACAATGTGATACAAAGTTTATAACAACGGCCAAATGAATACAATTTGATATAAGTAAACATACAATATCAAGAACAAATAAACTATATCTCACAGATTTTCTAAAGAAATATAGCATAATGAAATTTTTCAATTCGAAGAAAGTAATTATACCTTTTTAGATCATTTTTTTTATCAAAAAGTAATGGATGTGCAAAATCGTTCATTGCATTAGACAGCGCATGTGTTGCAACTGACGTCAAAACCCAAATAGTTCCAATTAACAAGAATATTCTATTGTAAAAGAAAAGAGAATACAAATATGAATATTAAGAGCATTATCAAAATCATTTACTTCAATCGTCGAATAACTCGATTTGGACTAAATTGTCGCATATTTTGATCAGCATGAATAAATACCTATTTATTATAAAAACAAAACAAATGCAAAAAATTTCAATATTTAATCATAATTCTTACTTTTTCCATAAGAGAATACATTGCTTCACCTTCTGTAACACGAAAATATATAAAACCAATAATAAAAGCAATGAAATGTAATAAATCAGGTAATATATAAGTAGTAAATATGTGACCGCATACAGGTGGCTGGATATTAGTAACATTAATTTTGTGAATTGGTTTTGGAGGTATGAGTGAACTCCAATTTAACACAGAATGATTATGGCTTGGTGATAATGTTGTAGTACTAGCTGTTGTTGTTGTAGTCTATTTGAAAAAAAGAACAATTTAGTATATTAAAAAACAAAACACAAAAACCATAAATTTTACTTTGGTATCTGTAACAACATTCAACTTTCCTTGACAAACGACAATTTCATATGTATAATTAAACAATAGTAATATTAAAATAAAAAGAGGATAAATAATATTAAAAATACGCAATAAAATTGATGAACGTCTTAAACTATCCGCACCAAATGGTCTCCAACCAATCTTAGAAGAAGAGAAAGAGAATATTTTTATATATCGAAAAATATTTAATAGACTTACTAAACATAATAAAGTACGAAATGGATGAAGTATTTGTTTTTTGCATCTCATCAAACTAAGTGTTGTTGAATTTGGACAACTATTATCAAGATCGGAGATCTGGATGAAATAAAAAAACAAGAATGAAAATATCAACAATGTATAGAATTTTGTTTCATTAATCAAACAGCGAAGCATTGATATGTATCTCTCTGCTATTGCTGTTTTTTTTTCAAACTCATTCGATTCGAACCTCATTTAATTCAAGCCAATTCCGTAATGTATGACTGAATTTTCTTCTCACCTCGACTTTAATACAACCAAAATCATCGTCATTATTCATTGATTGAGTTATATGGTTATAATGGTAATTACTTATTGAAAAGGCTAATGACTACAATAAAAACAAATAATCATTGCATAGAATATGACATATTTATTGATTACTTTTGGAGAAGTATTGGAGTTTTTACTCATTGTTTTTTTCTGTGCAAGTAATTATCACCTTTACTCACTGTACCTCGAAACATATGTAATAGATATAAACTTGCCTTATGACAAATAAAAACACCATGAGAAAGAAGAATAGAATAAAGCATACTTGCATGTTTGCTACTTCTTTGAAAAGACAACAGACATAGTTTAAATCAGGCGATAAATGATGAAATTTACATGTTTTCGAATAGTTCACTTGTATGTTGACCTTCTGACTCATCTTTTTCTTTTGTCTTTCTTACTCGTTCTTATCAACAGTAATATTTTCATGTAGATAATAGTTATCATATTTTTTTCGACTTTAAACATTTAGACTTTTGTTTATCATACATAAATGGTAAATATGAACTTGGAAATAATTGTGTTTCAATCAAAAATATTCAACAACAATTGATAATAATTCAAAAAAAAACTGACTGAAGATATCTCCGATTATTTTGATTAGAAAATTAGATAAAACCTGATATTATCTATTAAACATAGTAATTATCACGTTTTCCTATAGAATCAATTGAAAATAAAACAACATAAGCTAGAGTATATTTTTTAGATCAAATGATCTATTTTGCAATAGAATACTCAAGGATACAAATACTTGGAATAAGATCATATTATTATTATTTTGACAGAACAAGGACGAAAAAATAAGAAACAAAATATAGACAGAGTAATAAAAGTACAGTTAAATATATGACCTTCGTCTAAAATGATGCTTTCAATCAAAATAATTCTACATTGATCGAAAGCAGTCGCATTAGATGCCATTAGGTCATGCACGTCACCCACTATTTACTGATAATACATTAAGACACAGGCTTCTTGGTCTTTTTTTTTGTTTCATATGGATATCAATCTCCGGGGGCAAATTAATGAAGAAATCCAAAGAATATCTCTGTTTGTCATGAATTGATATCATTCAAACTTTTTCTTTCACGTTTACACAACTTAGACAGATACACATATATATATATATATATAATGTTTTTCTAATACACATGACCTAGTTTTAATCTGCTGATGAGCAAGGTACCATATCGTCTTTTGAATATGTAAAGACAGATGTTACTTAAGTTAGAGTCGTTTATTGGCCTTATATATATATGTATACTTATAAACAGAAATGGCGATAGAAAGAAAGAACGAGCAGTAAATACATAGAAAAAAAAACACTTAGTATCCAATCTATTGACAAGATAGAAAACCATAGAAGATAGAAACAAATGAAACGAGAGAAATATATTCATAGTTATATTAGTATTATAATATAGTGTCTTAGATATTAATTAAACATATTCTGGTGTTTTTCGACATACAATTGACAAATTTAATAGGTTTTATGGTGATTCTCCAAGCTTTAATTCCGTTCTTCTTTGTGATAAGTCACATATTCCACAACACAACAAAATAAATGAATCTATATCTTCATCATTAAATATGCCAACGCGAAGTAGTGTAAAATGGAAAGTACGAAATAGTATATCAAGTATTAGTCTTCATCGATATCGATCAAATTTTCGTCGTAATAGAACAAATACTTCATTGACTAATTCGGAATATTCATCCACATCATCATTTCCATTATTTCGTCAATTTTATCTTATGCGTAGTTCATTAAAACAAAAACGACGACGATCATTACTTAAAAAAGCTAATACTAATACTACTTTATTGCCTGAAAAAATTTATAAAGCACCTCGTATCGAAACTAAACATGTCATTACAACAATTTTCATTACAATTACATGTGCTTTTCTTTTAATATCTATGATTTTTCTTGACTTAGCTTATTTCAATGAAAGTATAGCAAATAAAACTAATTATAATTTATTAAGTATTCATAATAGTTTATGCTTTCATTATCCTAAAATATGTATTATAAAAGGATTAGTTATAATTGTATTTATTTTTATAACAATAATATTATGTTATAGTATTTTCGCATTATATATTCGTGCAAAACGTCATTCACGTTTACTTGAACATAAAACAAACGAATTAGAAAAAGAAAAATGTTTAACACAAAAATTACTTCATCAAATTTTACCACCATGTGTAGCAAAAGATTTAATTAATGGACGAAAAGCACCAGCTGAATATTTTGATTCAGTTACTGTGTATTTTTCAGATATTGTTGGATTTACTGCTATAGCAAGGTAAGATTTTCATGAAAGAAATGTTTTTTTTTTGTTTTTCTTGAAGATTTATTTTTCTAGTATGTGTTCACCAAATGAAACATGTAATATGTTAAATCAACTTTATTCTATATTTGATTCACTTTTGGAAAATTTTGATGTTTATAAAGTTGAAACCATTGGGGATGCTTATATGGTTGTTTCTGGAGCGCCTGAAAAAAATGGTGACAAAGTAAATATCTGTATCTAAAAATAATAAATATCTAATTAAATAATATATTTATTTCGTCCATTAAAGCATCCTAATGAGATTGTCAATATGTCATTAAGTTTGCTGCGCGGTAAACATCAAGTTCGTGTACCGCGTACATCTGCTGAACTTATGCTACGCGTTGGAATTCATACCGGTAATTACTTCAATTACTAATATCAGAGAAAAGCGAAGAGTTAATCTATACGTTATATTTTGAGTATGATTATAATTAGTTTATGTTTTTGGAAATAAGACTTAATATTATGTTTATACTCGGAGTTATTTTCATCTATGCATTGTAGGATCAAACTCTCAAAGTTTGTATATTGACTTCTATATCTGGATGTATATTATATTTTTCTCGTCAATATCATCTTATTTATCCAAGTTCTCTATCACTTATAAAAGTCGGCTATCTCGGTATCAATAATAACTATAAATATATACAGGCGACTGGTTATTATCCTTTGTTACTGTTATTGACATAAACACTACTTATTCCCTTTCAATCCATCATGTTTCTTTCAACAAGCCAAAACTTGTCGAAAAAAACAGTCTACCTTTTTCATGTCATAACCTCAAAACTATTGAATATCAGACATATCAAAGCGAGATAATTTTATGCCAATCTCTATAGATAAAAGAAATAGAAAAGATCGTTTAAGCAGGATTTCATTCTGATCAGCTTTATAAAATACTTCATTTAATATACTTTGTAGGACCGGTATGTGCTGCTGTAATCGGATCAAAAATGCCTCGTTATTGTATGTTTGGTGATACAGTAAATGTTGCTAATCGAATGGAATCAACTGGTTTACCTGAACGAATCCATTTAAGTGATGACACATATAAACGGATAAAAAATCGAGAACAATATGTTTTTGAAGAACGAGGTGAAATCGAAATTAAAGGCAAGGGCTTCATGCGTACATATTTTTTATTGTATCGAAAAACGAATGAAAATGAAACAAAATCACATTCAACTACAGTGAATAATCAAGATGTATGAATCCTAATTCATTGTGTTATGATAACTTATTGTAGTGTGTCTCACTGTCTTGTCTGTCCACCGAATATAATTAAATTTTTATAAATCGGCTTTCACAAGCGTGACCCGATGATGTTTTGGCTACAGTATTCTTAATCTTTCTCGGCAACTAGAGCAATTAAAAAACTAATGATTTCTCCAAAACATTTGTCTCTATATTCCCCTCAGTCCCTGAAAGTTTGAGACCATTTGGCTTAGTCGTTTGGAAATGGTAGCAAATATATATAGCGACACGCAATGAGACTTCTGTAACGTGACGATGAAAATCAAGATTCAGAACATTCCTATTTTCTATTGGGATCTGTCAGGTATTCACTAAATCCGACAGAATCGCTTCTTGTTAAAAGAAACATATTGTTTTTAATTGCCTTGTACTAGAATATATAAGTCAAAAAACATGATTTTCGAAGTTGGTGGTGTCATCAAAGTTGATGTGTCACGAATTTTTGCCGAAATATGTTTTAGAAATCTTGAAATTCATTTCATATTGTAAATGATCATAATGGAATATCAATCAAATTGTGAATCGTTTAATAAATCACATACTGCTTTATTTAGTCTTACGAAGGAAAACCTCCTCCGATATTCCCTTCCAATTTCAGTGATTCGTTTTATATATAGATACTACAAAATATTCTCGTAAAAATTCTAAAGAATTTCGGTTTTTATATTGATATTTAAATTAAGCCATAGATGAAACTGGTACCGACTTCAGACCGATCAGTCTATCGGTTGGTCTCTGGTCTTTTACTGATCTACCGATCTGTTACCGGTCTTACCGATTCTGTACTGATTCAACGGTTTATTCCTGACCTACAGGTATTTATCGGTCTAACTTTTCTATTTTGCTGTTTTTCTCATCGATGCTCGTGCAACGTTCTTATTGGCCCTCATTGATATCATACACTGAATGTCTAATGAAATTTCGTGAGAATTTGACGAAAATCAATTATGCAAAAAATAAGATTTGAATACGTTCCGTATAAACAATTCTATATTTTTTTGCGTTGTAGATATTTTACTTTAACTAAAGGTAATAATGGTGGTCTGATACTGGTGTAAATTTTAAGCCGGCCGTTCTACCGTGTTTTTGTCGGTAGATCAATCAAACCGGTATATCGACCGATCCAATCTGATTTTTTCAGACCGGTACCAGCACAGATTGTTAAAACACTGGATCGGTTCTATCTAGGGATTAAGCTATTGAAGTTTTGATATGTTTATCTTCGAGAGATTTCAGGTTTTCGAAAAACTCATACTATCGAATTTTGATCCGAAACTTTGTGTATATGAAGACTAGACTAGCTTTCATAGAAAAAAACTTAGAAATTTTGAGCAAAGTCTCATCGAAATAGGAAACATTCAAAAACAATGAGTGTTTTATACAGTATCCATGGAAAAGAGTCTATATCTTGAAAGTTTCATATCTCGAAAAGACTTTGTTCTAAACTTCTGATTTGTTTTAATGAAAACAAATCTAGTTGTGTTGTCTATATGTGCAAAGTTGCATATAAAAAATCGAAACGATGAGTTTTCCGAAAACCTGAAATTCTTCAAAAAATAGACATATTAGAAATTTGATAGCTTAGTCAAAAATGAATAAGAATCGAAATCCTTCCATAATTTTTATTAGAACATCGTGTAGTATCTATAGACAAAAAATCACTGCAATCGGAAGAGATCATCTAAAAAGGTGCTCTCGTTAGTCAGTACCAAGTGTCAATAATTGATCCATGATCAAGACATATTTCGAAGGGAATATTTGTCATTTTACCAATAAATTAACATTATTTTTATGATTCCAATCGTTAATTTACAAACAAGGAATAGTTTTATTTTTAGAAATTTCAAGAAAATTCGAGCTCAAATTCTCAGAAATAGAAGAATGTGTTTCTTCATGCAATCCTTTTTTTAGTATTGTAACGTTAATCACTGATTGAGTATAGAGATATGATCGTTCATGAATTGAAAACGATTTGGAAGAAATTTAGTAATAATATATATTTCCACTGGAAAAAAAAAGAACTTGACTTTTTGTCACTACTCGTGTAGCGATGGATATATTTTTAGTACGTCTGAACAATAATAAAATTTTCGACTACAAATAACTTAAACCTTTTAAGATGACCATGGTTTAAAAATATTTCTTGAACTCAGAATTGAAACTACTATCGGCGCCAGAATTCAAGGCAGTCGGATGTTTTTTGAATAACTTTTGATAGGAACAAGATAGAGACCTGCGATTTTCAGTGTTGGATAGCCAAGACCTAGGAGCATATTTTCATAAGCAAAATCTTTTCTGAGAAAAAATTCGAAGATCGATTTTTTAGAAAATTTCTGAAAAACCATGCTGGATTTCTGAAAACTGCCATAACAGTCTATTGATTTTTTTACATATTCGGAATCCGCATCGAAAACTGAGTCGAGTCACGTGCGTTTCGAATCTTTTCACGAACTTTTTTTTTCGTCGAAAAGTTCACCCCTGGTCCCCCATGAGGGATAGGTCAAAAAATGAAGGCAGCTAAAACTCCGTTTTTATTGTTTATTCATTTGCCATTTAATGTTCTACTAGCATTTTAGAAGCCTCAAACTCGATTTCCGTTGTCCAAGTGACTTTTTGACTGACTTTATTTTTTGATCTCTTCCTCAGGAGGACCAGGGATGAATTTTTCGGTGAAAGAAAAAGCTCGTGAAAAGATTCGAAACATTCATGAATCGACTCAGTTTTCGATGCTGATTCCGAATATGTAAAAAAATCAATATACTCCTATGGCATTTTTCAGGAATCCAGCGTGGCTTTCCAAAGATCTGCTGAAAAACCGATCTTCAGATTTTTTCTCAGCAAAGATTTTGCTTATGAAAATCTGCTCCTGGGTCTTTCCTATCAAATGCTGAAAACCGCAGGTCTCTATTTTGTTCCTATCAAAAGCTATTCAAAAAACATCCGACTGCCTTGAATTCTGGCGCCGATAGTAGTAGAAATGATTAGGCCGATCGATATACTGGTATGAGTCATTTTTTATTTCTCTAATTCTATAACAGTGAAATCCAATTCTCGAATAAGCCAAAATCTGTGTCTTAATCACTACATTAATGATATGAGAGTACTTTTTTTTTTTATTGCTTGTTACTATTTATTTTCGTACTTTTTTCTGTCTGTTCTTATCTATTATTGAACAGAAAATTTCACAGAACTGCAAATAGTATATCAGCTTTCGACATTCATTACCACTTCGTAAGACATGTATTTTATTATTTGTATATTTAATCTACTTCTGAGATTACGTTTATGGTGTTATCTCTCATATCTATGCGAATTATATTCTATAAACAGTTGGGGATATATAAATCCGTCACAGCTACCATACTAAACGATTATTCAATTTTGTTTTGATAATGCAAGTTGATATGAAAGTGAAAATATGACAAGAATGTTATGATGAATCTTGACTGAATAGAATAGTCTTCGACATCAGTAAAAAGTGTTTGTTTTCGAATAATAAAACACTTTTATGCTCAATTTTGCGACAGAAAATGTAAAAACTCAAAATTCATAACGGTCGTTTACCTTTACCGATTACAATTCTGCTTGAACTTATTATAATGCTATATTTTACTTTTATTTTTGAACAAATTTTAAATTGCAGATAATAGAATTCGAGAATATTAAAATAAGGGATTGATCATAGATTAATCAATAACTATTCAAATAATAAAGGCAATAAAACTTTACTAAGAACAATCGTCCTTCAAAGACAAGTTGATAGATAACAGAGTTTAACAAAAAATTTCAATTTTCCTTAATAAATTGGAAAAGTTTGTGACATAAATCTGACCTATTTCTCGCGTATAAGAAGAAAAAAAAATACCTGGTACGACGACATTGCATGTTTTATTACTCAAACTAATAGTTTTAATATACTGTGAGTGTTAAGTAGATATTCCTTGGCACAAAACTGTCATTGTATTTTATTAGTCCTCTCTAAATTGGTGTAAACATTTTTTTAAAATAAAAACGTGGAATGATTATTACTCTGGAACAATTTTACCGATCGATATTTTTAATTAATGTCTTCTTTAGTCATGAAATGTCGTGTTAAATAATAAATCAATAATTTAATAAATAAAAATATTTTTACAATTTAATTATAAGAAAACTATGTTTTTTAATTGCTAAAACTCTATTTACTTCGATATGTTCCAATTTATCAAACAATAATTACTATTTATTTTTTCTTACTATAATAGCAGACAAATATTCAACAACAAAAAAAGAATTATTAAGATGAGAAATAAAAATTTGTTTTTCACTAAACATTCAGACATCAGATGACTCAGAACAAATAATGCATACCATCATTGAAGATTTATTTCATTTCCTTTTAAGGCCAAGTAACAGCTGCGATAACACACGGGTTTTTCATTAATCTATATATAGGTTTTTTTTCTTTTATGTAACTCTTTTTATATTTCTCACAAATCAATTGAAAATAATAATGTTTTCTTCAAATCAAATGTAGCAATATTAATGTTATTTATCTGTAGTTTAATATCTTGAACATATATATTTAATTATATACAAAATTCATATATTATACAATCAATATCTGACAAAAGAAATCCGCTAATAACATTGAACAGATGCATACACATTGAATAGTTTAATTATTCAAAGGAAAAAAATTGTATTAAGTATCATTTTCAATTGAGGCTTTTTGAACTTTCCGTGTCACTATTGAAGGAGAAAAAGCTAAAGGCTCAAAAAAATATTTGATTATGTTGATGAAATAGGCATTAACGTAATAGCCAGCATTATACTAACTGAGTATTTGAAATGTCACAAGAAAATATGGCCTAATATGAGAAAATAATCATGCGCTAATATCAAGCAACAAATAATCGTAATATCTATTTAGAACATTATTCGAACGTATGGTAACATGAATAAGACAATAGAATGGTAGACGTACAAGAAAGATAGAAGAAGATAGTTTCTCAAAAAGTCTTTTTCGATCTGTAGAACATTCTTTTCATGCTATAGATAAATGATGACCAATATTGTGTGTTTCGAATTCGACTCTTTTCTAACTGTTGTTTTATTGATGCAAAGGCTTAACTTATCATTGAGTACCTTACTTACGTCAAATGATCAGGTTAATAAAGGAAACTTAGTGAGTTCTTCGTAGAATATTTTTTTTTGCTCGGAAAGAATTATGATTCTTAAACTTTATTCTTATGCAGAAAATCAAAAGCTTTATCTCGACATTTCTTTTCTGTCAACGATAATGTGTTTTCATGTTAGCGATGTGCTTCTTTTGTCTAATGACTAATGCAAAAAAACACCATTGGAAACAATGCTAATACTAAACAGTCATATATGTAGAAGAATGTACTATTCCTCAGGTATCAATGAGGTATTTTTAGCAACCTTAGTCTTATTGTTTGTATCTAAGGAAAAAAAAACAACCGGTCATAATGATCGTCGTTTGTGTTCTTTTTCTTTTCTTCGCTTGTAGAATAGCATATGTCTTGTTAGTTTTTTTCGAACAAGAAAGAAGATGTTTTATCCTACATATGTTGATTACTGCTTTCTTCCTCTTATCTTTTCATCGACCGGAAACAGCATGGGAAGAATTTTCTCTGTTTACTTTTTATCTGATTGCATACTAACATATTGTCTTAACAGATATTTTTTCTACATTAAGCAAAAATGAGAAGTCATCGTAGATATTAGAAAATGCCGATAAGTATATCAAAAAACCGTTTTCAATCATTGTTGAAAGTTCACCAAATAAATCATTGTATCGTTTTGTTTATTTATTCAAGATAATTTTTGCTCTTTTTGTGTGACTTACTCACCTAAATAACTCATAAATTGTGTAGCATGATCTACTACCACCATTTCTATTTCGGCTCTGGTAAATAACGTATATCTGGATTATTATTATTATTATTATTTTTGTCGAATACAACGAATAAGAATTAACTTAGAATAAATCTTTCTGACCGTAAAAAATCAGCATTATGAAGAAAAATCATCATCATGGCAAAAGCAACATGATAACGACCGGAACAACCGTCTCGGCTGCGACAGCAGTTATCCAACGAAATATTCAACTTATGCGTATAACACTTGCTTTCACAGTTCTTTCATTTATTACTTTTTCAATAATACTTACGTCAAGTTATTGGATAATTATAACTTATCCACCTGATTTCTTTTCAAAAAGACAAAATCTATACATTGTTAGAGCTACTTATGGTATCATTTGGGAATGTGTAGTCGGTCGACCAACACCAGATGCCATGTATGGTAAGTATGCATTGTTGGCATATCATTATTAAGCTGCTGCTAGTAATCTTATTAGAATATCAAGACTATAAGATATTGTTGACACTGTCATCTTTTACTATTGAGATATGAGATATGATACGTATATAATATGAAGTACATGTGAAATTTGTAATATAATTCTTTTATAGAAAATCAATGTGATTATCATCAAAATCAAGTTCAGAATGCATCTTCATCAACTGAACAAACTCTAGTAGGTATGATTGATTTGTTTCTTTTGTTCTTTTTTTTTGTTTTAGAAGAAACTCATTTTATATTGAATTAATAGGAATGATTCGTACAATGCTTTCATTTAGTGCTATTCATATTCTTCTATTAGTAATTACATTTATTTGTGGTTTATATAGTATTCGTGAATATCGATATACATATAAACGATTGACAGGGATGATTTATATTGTTACTGGTAAAAAAAAAGACAGTTTTAATGACATAAATTTTGATTGTTATTGTTATAGCTGTTTCTCTTCTCGTTTGTATTGAAGCATTAAGTACTATATTTCGCCATGCTAGTGCACATTTACCCGATATTTATCCACTTGGTACGAAGCATACGTATGGTGTTTGTTATATTCTAGCTTGGCTCATTTTTGCTCAACTAATTGCTTCATCATTTGTCTTTTTTGTTTGTAGTAAAAAACGAAAAGGTACATTTGATGAAGCAACAGAAGAAGAAGCTTTGGCTAATCTACCTGTTGATCTTGGTCGATTTTAATCAAAAATATTATTCCATTCAATACACAATTACACTTAAAACATAATAGAGCATACTTCCTTTTTTTCTTTTGTTTCTTTTATTTCTTTTGTTCAATAATCCGTTTTTTTACATCATTGAAAACAAACGGCATCGTATTCATACCTTATTCAGTTTTTATTTGTATATTTGTATGATTATTTCTGTAGAGTTGACACAATTCAATGTTGAACTCATGTTATATAATCAATACTACGGACATATACAATGTAAAAAATTATCAAAGAAAAATAAGAAACAAAATTATTAGAGCATAAAAATAATTGTTTTATATCGGTACCTCAAACGATATCAAAGTTGAGCGTTAAACGAATACTCTTTGAGGATAAGATTAAAAGATCGACATAAGTTTTGATAGAAAAAAAAAAATTGTGAGATTTTTTCACGTCATTACTTTTCTCAAGAGAACGTTTGATAGAGAGCCACTGAAAATGATACTTAATATACGATCGTTATTATCGGAAACATCTACAATAATTTTATTTAGGTTTTCTAATGACTTTTATTCGCTAGTGAAAATTGATGTCATCATATTATTCACAAAATTAATTATAATTATACATTGTCTAATATGATATTATAAAATAAATATTTATTTTTACTTTTCATTGCTTTAAAAAGTACATTAAATTATGCAATACATGATAGTAATTATAGGTCCTTGAAAAATTATGACATATCTTGCTTGTTGAGTATATGCAAACAATAACAACTGTACAGAAGAAGCTAATAACTCGTTGTAATATCAGTTTCCATAAGTAGAGTCTGGAATTAAATGACAACATTGTCATCGAAGGCCGTCTTGGATACAAACCTCAACATTCATGTATTTAACTTTTTGAAAATACAATTTCTGTTTTTGTCAAGGCAATATCGTTTGTGGCTTATGAATGTGATGGACATTATTGTTTAACATTGTTTTTAAAGAAAAGTTTAAATAACATCGTTTATTTTTAGAATCAAAGTGTCGTATTCTTTTCGACTATAGGTTTAAAAGTTTTGTAGAACTTCTAGTGAAAGGGTTATTAGTCCAACTTGTAGATGTGCAACAATTGAATTTAGTCGGAGAAAACTGATCTTTTTTGGCGCAATAGACTCCTTTACTGCACACGTTATATTACCGATTTTTGTGAAACACGATCTAAGTGGAGTATTAAAGTGTAGAGATGGGAATTGGTACTCACTACCCTTTCTCTCACGGACCATGGCAAACGCCTTGGCAATGCTATCCTTGAGGATGCATACAACAGCTATATCGTGTTTCGTATTTGAATTCCATGGGGATTGTGATAACAACTTTTTCAGCATAGAACTGAAGGCGAGATTATTTTCTACAAAGTAACATAAGAATCAAGTGTTTTAGAAAATCATTCAGGAACAGACGAGCTCACTTTACAAGTTTGTTTTTCATAAAAATCAAGAATATTGCCTAAATTGACTCCTTGTTCATTATCGGAAATACTCACTGTTGACAAATGACTTGCAGCAAACTAATCATTAGGATAACATTTTATAGAGAAAGTTTTATTCTTTCATTCTCAGTATTTGACATAATATTTGCTTCGACTTTGAGTAATTTTTGACGTGCTAAAGTTTGTTCAAACTTAATTTGCGGATCTCTAAAAGCTCGACTCATAACTTCTACAAGAAAGACCCTGCAAAAATCTTGAGCTCATATTCGGAAAGAAAACAAACATTAGGTTCTAACGTAAATGTTTCAGATTTCTGCGGCTCATTTAAAAAGTTGAGAAATAAATGAATATTTTATCTAATTACTTTTCAATTACCCGTTGCTAGCAAATATAAATTCTGTCATTGCAGTAAATGATCCTTGAGATTTACAAATATACGTTTGTAACAATATATGATGATGGTATCTATCAGCAGTAAATCTCATTAATACAAATAAAGGTAAGAAATATATGAAATCTCAATTTGTAAATAATATCTTGTATTAGATCAGCTATAAATGAACTTGGCATAGGTTAATGCCTCAGGATGCTAAAATAGATGAATGATTTAGAAGTTTAATATAGAAAAAAAAATAAAATAAAAAGTAGAATTAAGATCATATTTGTAATGAATATATCAATTTATAAAATATTCTCTGAAGATTTTCTAATTTTTGTTTATTTGAATACAACAAAAGATAGAGAGACAGCAAAATAATCGAAACCATTTACCTAATGAACAAAACAATCGTACCAAAAATCGAAGATTAAAGTTTTTGAAACTGTACGCACAAAAAAATGAATAAAAGAAAAGTTTTCTAAATGAATCAAAATTATGCAGTAAGTTCTCCTTGAATAAAAAGAAAGTGTACCATACATCTATCGATGAACTACATTATGATGACCAACAAAATAAATCCAAATATTCAGCCACTCAAAAGAAATAAATGAGGCGTTAAATAGAGAACATAACTACGTATGTAGTGACCGCATTAGTTAACTGAATTGTTCATTTTTCTATCGATAGACATGAAGTTAAGTATATACCTATAACTATTTCTTTCTTTTTTATCTCTTCACCTTTTGTTATACCATGATCAATCGGTTTTTGCACGTTCATCACTGAATAATATACAAAGAGAAGATGAAAGTAAAATTATCTATTAAGATCGTTGATTATTATTTAACATTGAGCATGTCAGGAAAGGTCAATTATGATGTTATGTATTACAATCATTTCTCACGGTATCAAGAAAAATGGATAACATATGGACTATGAATGTGTTAGGAGGTGTTAATCGCCTGGAAATAAGTTAGATCATCAAATATTCTAATGTCTTTTTCTTGCTGTGTTTAAAGCCACCCATAGATATTTATTTATATTATTTTATATTGATTTGTTTTCATATAAAAAAAAGAAATTCAGTGATATATTGATTTTAATGGATAATCTTTTCTCAATTGTCTATCTTCAACGATTTATTTCAACAACCACAATAATAACAAAAACTAAATTAATGTTGAACCCATAATCATATGATGAAAAGCATGTGTTCACAACACTCGTTGAATATTGTATACATATATACTTAATACGTTTAATGTAATGATCACAAGCTCCATGACTCTTACATTAATCTTATTTTGTTATTTATACTCAAGATGAAAATATGTTGAATAATTATAGAGATAGACAAAAGTACAAACAAGTTTAAATATCGATCGCAATAAAAATAACTTTTTGCCCTTATTCTTATATAGTTTATTCTAATCAACGTGAGAAAAAAAACACCTATCATCACTTCAGAATTTATGCTTCAGTTTTTTTTATGACTATCATTTATTGGTATTTTCTTTTGATTGAGATACCAAATGATGTAATATGCTATAAAATAACCGTTTTCTCGTTCTTTTGATCTTCTATCATACTACACCAAAGTGTTAATACGTAACATTCTCTTCCCTTTTTTTTTTAGTACTACTTATTCTGACCATGGCAGCAGACATTTTAGATAAAAATGAAAATGCCTATGGACAGCTATAACGTAGGGTTCATCACTTTCACCACAGTATATAGAAGTATAAACGGCTAACTTGAAAGGTGAGCTAATTATATTGCTCGCAGAATTGAGCCAAAGAACTTGATTAAGTTTGTGTCAATTCACTGTCATCATTGCCTTGACGATCTCTATATCTTTATGCGTGCACTTGTATAAAAACATCATTTTTTTTCGTGATAATGCTAATGACATTGCCTGTTTAATTTTTGTTTAGTTTATATTATGACTTTGCATGTCTACTCATTTCCTTTATTTATGGATTGCTTATTATACGGCGTACGTTTATGAACGAAAGAATGTAAACATCCTTTCAGTTATGATTATGATTATCTGTTGCTAGCGGCATGTAAGAGAGAAACAACTTTCAATATTCATGGCTGTAGCTATTTGATGAATGACAACACAAGGCGAAAAAAAATGCGTAGCACATTTATGTAAGAATGCTTATGCTGTGTGTTTTATTATTGAATAAAGATCTGCTTTCTCTATTCAATATTAGCAGGTATCATTTTTTTTTCTTCCCTCTTTTGGTACTATCGACAAATCTAAGAGACTTTTTCTCTTCTTCTTCTTTTTCTTTATATGCATCGTGTTGATTGAGCATATGCATGGCCTCGTTCTCTTTTTTTTTCTCTGATACGATACACTATACAAGACAAAAGAAGGCAATGGATATTGATTATAAAACGGAACTCATTCGCATTGAATTTATTCTACTAAATAGTCGACATCCGTTTGACTGCTTGTATATGTACATTACGTAAACCTCTATTGACGCTGATTGAACGACGTAGTAGTTTGTCTGTTCATTTTGAATGGCGGTTATCGTAGTAAGTAGTTTGAACGTACTAATTATACAGGTAAAGAAAGAGGATGATGACGATGATGAAAGCCAGGCAGGCAACGTGTATATATGCCCTTCAGCACTATTGGCAATCGCAAACAAATGCATGAGGAAATGAAGAACACGGTCTGTTGTTCAATATATGTACATATGTGTATGTACAAATCTTCACCGCCTGGTTCCGCTTTCTTGCAATTGACATTGGCAAGGTCAAAAGGCAAGATATAAAATGATGACGGATTGCTTGGCAACATACGTGCAAGCATTCTTTATCAGTTCATTGCTGTTATGCCAAGGTCGATTGAGATGAGCCGACGACAATATGGTTAATTTCTTTTTCTTTTTAGTTCTCTATCACTAGACCTATATCAATAATTCTTACGATTGACAACCGAACCTTTAAACAAAACAAAATAATGATGTTCTCTGTCAGTTAGCTATTCAGCTGAATACTCATTCATTCTCAATCTATTTTTCATATGTATAATGATTCCACCGTTAGTTTCCTGTTTGCATGAATTTCTTTCTTTCTTTAATTTTATTGTTCTCGTTACCGTTAACACGGAGAATTCTCATTTTGCTTTTACGTAACTCAATAGTGTTAAA